CGACCACATCTCCATAGGGGTTTTCCCCTCAATCGCAGATGAAGGCAGCCTATTAATGAGGTGGCTCGCATATGTAAGTGCCTCAGCCCAAAAGATCTTCTCCAAACCACTCTGCGACAATAAGCATCGGATCTTCTCCAGTAAAGACCGATTCAACCTCTCTGCCACCCCATTTTGTTGCGGTGTATGACTAACTGTGAAGTGTCTCTCTATGCCCTCGTCTCGACATAGCTGTAAAAAGAGGTCTGAAGTATACTCACCACCGTTGTCGGATCGCAACGTCTTGATCTTTCTCCCAGTCTGCAGTTCTAATCTCTTCTTCCACTCCACAAACAAATCTAGGACTTCACTCTTCTTCGTCATGGTGTACACCCAACAACGCCTAGAATAGTCATCTACAAAAGTGACGAACCAATGTCTACCACCAAGTGATGTAGTCTTGGTGGGACCCCAAACGTCTGTGTGCACGTAATCTAGGATGCCCTTCGTCTGATGAATGGCAGTCCCGAACTTCACCTTCGTCTTCTTGCCAAGAACACAGTGATCACAGAACTCAATCTTCCCACTCTTGGCTCCCTTCAATAGCCCCTGCTTGCATAATGCTTGTAGTGACTTTTTACCTGTGTGCCCCAATCTATAGTGCCAAAGTCTGCTCATGTCCGCTTCTGAAATAACCGAAGCAACCTGGCCAATCTCGGTGCTTTTAGAAGCGGACATGAGCTTGTTGCGCGCAGCGAAAATTTCGGCAGCACTTCGGCAGCACAACAAGAGTTAGGTCGCAATAAGAATTCTTGTTTCTCAAAGGGAACAAGAATCTGAAGCCTAATATCCCATCAAAGTGGGATATTTGCTCTTCCTCTCGTCAGCTCTAGGACTGCGCGTCGAGGGAACCTAAAAGCTATTACTAGTCACACAAATAGCAGTACAACCAATTTTTACGTGGTTCGGCAAATTGCCTACGTCCACGGGGCAAGGAGGGGGGAGATCTATTAATAGAGGGAGAGAATACAACTAGGGTTTACAATCACTCACAATCTAAACCCTCACACAAACTCTCAAATTCCTCACAAAACTCTCTCAAAGAGATACACAAAACCCTAAAAGGGACTGCACAAAATCTCTCTCAAAAGCCGCTGATTTTTCTTCACCGAATACAGCCGCACAAACTCCAAATCTCCTGCTGCGAATTTTTCCTCTGCCGCAGCCGCTAAACACCTCCTCGCACGAAAAACTAGGGCACTATGCAAAGCTATATGTATAGCATTGAATCAAATTGGGTGGGCCGCCTGCTTCCCTTTTTTTTCTTCTCACGTTGGTTGTGGCCCCCACATCTTCACAAAACAATCGTGTGAGTAAATAATATTATATTTTAAAACATTTTATATACGAACAATTGTACACTTTGGTTGCTATATATTTTTTAAAAATAATTAAATATTTGAATAATGATTGTGTAATTTTAGATAATTGGTTTTCGATGAGGACATGCAGGAATGTTGTATGGCTTAGATCTGAAGACTTGAGAAGGAGAGGGAGGTTCTTGAGTATAGGAAAGAGAGCTTCTGGCGACAACGAGTTAGGGTTGATTGGCTACGAGACGGGGATCGTAACACCAAATTCTTCCATATTAGAGCTTCCACTAGAAGGAGGAAGAACTTCATTAGCCGTCTACGTCACCCTAATGACACTTGAGTGGATGATCATGTGGGAATTACAATGCTTATTGAGGAGTATTTCTCAGAACTATTTTCTTCTCCCACTCCTTCAGAGGAGGTTTTGACTGAGATGGGTGGTGCTATCTCTTCTAAGCTTACAGGTGATGAGGTGGGTGGTTTATTGACAAGGCCCTTCAGGTCATGGGATTTCCAGACCATTGGAGGCATCTCATCTTGGACTGTTCTCTATTTCCTCACTCTCTTTCTGCCTCAATGGGCAGATTGTAGGTCAAGTCACTTCTACTCGTGGTCTATGACAAGGATGCCTACTATCACCATATTTGTTTCTTTTCTGCACGGAAGCTCTCTCGGCACTGATCATCAGACAGGAGGAGAACAAGTGCATCAGTGGGTTATCTTATTCCCGCTCGGGGCCAAAGGTTTCTCACTTGTTCTTTGCAGATGACTCTTTGGTTTTTATTCAGGTCTCCCATGCCGATGCATAGACTGTCCAGAATACTCTGCTACTATATGAGGCTGCAACCGGTCAGAAAGTTAACTTTCAGAAGTCTGTCATCACCTTTAGCCCCTGTGTAGATGAGGATACTAGGACCTCTATTTTTTCTATTTTGGGGCTTCATAGGGCCCAGTCACATGATCAGTACTTAGGCCTCCCTTCAGTGGTTGGAAGAAGTCATCGTCAGACTTTTGCTTCAATCAGAGACTCAGTTTGGAAAAGAGTCCAAGCTTGGAGGAGGACTCTTTTCTCAGCTAGGGGGCGAGCGGTTATGGTGAAAGCTATTTTGCAGGCGATCCCATGCTATGTCATGAGTATCTTTCACATTCCAATTTCTTTGTGTAAGGAGATTGAGTCTATCATTATGAGATTCTGGTAGGGATCAACTTCTGGTGAGAGAAAGATTCACTGGGTTAGATGGCAGAAGGTGTGTCGTGCAAAGTCAGAGGGTGGTCTAGGCTTTAGAGATCTACAGATATTTAATCAGACATTGGTGGCTAAACAGGCACGGAGAATCGTTCAGAACCCTTCTTCTCTGGCTAGTAGGGTTTTGAAATGGAAGTATTTCAGGGACTCGGACTTCCTTTTAGCTAGTGTCGGCGCTGGCTGCTCTTATTTATGACAGAGCATTATCTGGGAGAGAGAACTCCTGGCTCGAGGTCTGAGATGGAGGATAGATGATGGCCAAAGTGTCTCTATCAGTGCTGACCCATGGATCCTAAGGCCGTTTTCTTTTAGGCCAATCACTTCTCCGATCGACCCTTCTAGAAGGGTGGCTGAGCTGATCTCTGCTTCGGGTACTTGGAATCATGAGCTAATTGCTATCTCCTTTTGGCAGGTAGATCGGGAGGACATTTCATTTATCCCACTGTCGCCTTCTCCTGTCCCTGACAGACTCATTTGGCATTATGAGGAGAAGGGATGCTACATAGTTAAGAGTGGATACCGACTTCTTTGCCACACTATGCCTGATATTGCTTCCACCTCGGATTCTAGGGTAACGAAGTGGTGGTCCTTGATCTGGCATGCGGAGATCCCACCGAAGATTAGAGTGTTCCTTTGGCATCTGTTCTATGATACTCTCCCCACCTCAGCTGGTTTATCTCGTAGGGGATCTATGTGCCCCTAGTTGCCGCCTTTGCTCTGCTGCCTTTGAGACCGCCCTTCATATCTTCATCGTCTGCTCATTTGCTCATTTAGTGTGGGAGTTCTTAGATCTTTGGAAAGTGATTAATGGTTTTTGAGGCGCGTCTTGTGGTGATTTTCTTTTCCATCTCACCTCTGTTTACCATGGGGACTCTCTGGCTTTGGCTTTCACAACTATGTGGTTTATAGGGGGGAAATGAATATGCGCTCTCATGGTGGTGGTGTTAGAGAGGCCTCGGTCTTGGTGACTCGGAATCTCTGTTTTATGGAGGAAGGGGATAGAGTTAGAGGTCTCTCCCGTGACATTGTCACCCCTTCCAAATGGTCTTCTGCTTGGTATCCCACTGTTCCTTGTTTGCTGAAGCTCAACACGGATGTTGTTGGTCCTCTGGAAGGAGATATTATTGGCTTGGGAGGTGTTATTCGGGATCACCATGGACATGTGATTAGTTGCTACTCTATGGGGATCAGGGGTTCTATGTTTGTGGATCATGCGGAGTTGTTGGCTGTCCTGGAAGGCATTCGCTTTGTTCGGCGTATGAACTAGAAGATTTCAGTGGTGGAAATTGACTCTCTAAAGGTTGTCTCCTTGATGGACTCTCCTTCTCCTTTTGCTTCTTTGGCTCTTATTGGAGATGAAGTTCGCGCTGGTCTGACTATTACTGGCTGTTCTAAAGTTTCTTATGTAAGGTGCACTGGTAATGGTGTTGCTCATTCCCTACCTAAGTCAGTTGACTGTTTGTCCTCTTGTTTTTGGTCTGTTTCTGTCCCTTTGTTTTTGAGACAGAGTGTTGTTGAGGACTTGGCTGATTAGGTTACTCTACCTGCATTTTAAAAAAAAATAGTGTCTTTTTCAATTTCATGCAAATAAACACTTCTTTAATCTAAAGGCTTTTATTATTATTATTATTATTATTATTATTATTATTATTTGGTTAGATCATTATCATTAAATTTCAAGCTAAAAGTGATAATTTATATTTTAACTAACAATTATTATCCTTACATAATCATAGTCATCTTGTTAAATTTAAATGTATTTCATCTTGTTAAATTTAAATGTATTTTATTAGCCTTCTCAACACTCATTTATTTAAATAAGATAGAACTGAGAACATTTCTACCAAAGTCTGAATCTACGAATTTGAGTTGAATTTGCTTTACTATAATAATTACTTATAAACTTACAATTAAGTTTTGAAATTAGTATTTAAAAACTTTTAAAATATTAATCTTCTTAGGGCATCTCCAACCCATCGCACCAAAATGGTGCAAATTTTGCATCAAAATGGTGCAAAAGTCACATCTAACAGTAATTCATCTCCAACCCACTGCACCATTTTTTGCACCAAAAAGGAATATTCTCAGTATCTTTCTTTTTATCTACTTTTATATTATTATTTTTTATTCCCTATATTTTTTACTATTTCAACAATTAACCCCACATATCAAATTTTATTTTTTCACATATTTTCCAAACAAAATGATTTATTATTTAAAAAATTAAACTAATAAAACAATAAAATATTATTTTATTAATTAAAATAACTTGATTGCTAAAATATTATATTTTTATTATTGATATTGCCAAAATATTACATTCAAGAACACAACAGAAAATAAAATACAAGAAAATAATTAAACATTAACAACAATGTAAAAATTACAAATTTAGTATGCACTTAACTATCTGAATTAGTGTATTCCTCCCATAAATGATCTATCAATGCATTACGAAGCGCAATATGGGCATCTTTATCCTTGATTTTTCCGTAACGTGCAATAAATTGAGTAAATCTTGTAGTTTCATCTGCTACCATATCAACTTCTGGTGTTGGTGCTTCCCTCACTTCTTGAATTGGTGCATAAAGATCACGTTCATCCTTGATTATCATATTGTGCATAATAATGCATGCAGTCATTATGTCATGTAATACATATTTTTTCCAAAAACGTGCTGATCCTGCCACAATTGCAAATCGTGATTGGAGAACTCCGAACGCACGTTCTACATCTTTTCTACATGCTTCCTGTTTCATGGCAAAATATTTTTTCTTCCTACCTTGTGGCTGTTGGATTGTTTGTACAATAGTAGCCCATTTTGGATATATACCATCAGCTAAATAATAACTCATATTATACTCTTTTCCTTGAATAACATAGTAAGCGGGAGGAGCAATACCTTGAGCTAGGTTAGAAAAAAGATTAGATGACTCCAGCACATTGATATCATTATTGATGCCTAGCATACCAAAATATGCGTGCCATATCCAAAGATCATAATCTGCCACAGCTTCAAGGATAATAGTTATATCCAAAGATCATAATCTGCCACAGCTTCAAGGATAATAGTTGGTGACCCACTACGTCCTGTGTATTGTCCAGACCATGCTGTTGGATGCCACAGCTTCAAGGATAATAGTTGGTGACCCACTACGTCCTGTGTATTGTCCAGACCATGCTGTTGGATAATTTTTCCATTTTCAATGCATACAATCAAGACTTCCTAACATTCCTGGAAAACCACATTTTTTACCAATATAGAGTAGCCTAACAATATCGTTAGCGTTAGGTGTTCGTAGATACCGCTCTGCGAATATCTCCACCATAGCACGACAACTTGTCATACTTTCAATTGCTGTTGACTCACCTATTTTAACGTATTCGTCCGTAGCATCAGCTGGTAGACCGTATGCCAACATGCGAAAAACAGCTGTTACTTTTTGTAATGGTGATAATCCCATTCTACCAAGTTCATCACTTCGTTGTTGGAAGTAATGGTCATGATCTTTCACTGCATGAACAATACGAATGAACAAACTTCTTGACATCCGATATCGACGACGAAACATATCTTCTCCAAAACATGGATTATCGATAAAGTAATCTATGACCAAATTCTGATGCGCAGTTTCTCGATCGCGGTTGATCACTACATGACCGGGAATCGAGCCACCATGGATCGGTTGGTAGTTTTGTTGACGTAAATTGTTAGCGATGATCATGTTGTTGTTGATATACTCACAAATTACTTCTTCGGTTTCATCAATCTCTGCAATGATATTGGTCAGAAAATTATCATCATCCGAAGATGAAGATGATGATAAATATGATGGACCTCCAACATCGAAATTCATTTTTGGAGTAAGAAAAGAATGACTGAGGTATGCAGAAATGGAGAATAATAATTTTAACACAACAACGAATAATTGTGTGGATGTACCTAATCTAGTATGTTATTTATAAAACTTTGCTGAGCTGTGTATACGTTGGACAATGTGTAAAGCTGACCAGTTTTAAAAAAATGATTCCCACTCGTACAAAGCTTTCACACAATTCAAGGAAAACTGAGCTGTGTATACATTAGACAATGTGTAAAGCTGACCAGTTTTCAAAAAAATGATTCCCACTCATACAAAGCTTTCACACAATTCAAGGAAAGCTGAGTTGTGTATACGTTGGACAATGTGTAAAGCTGATCAGTTTTTAAAAAATGATTCCCACCGATACAAAGCTTTCACACAATTCAAAGAAAGCTGAGCTGTGTATACGTTGGACAATGTGTAAAGCTGATCAGTTTTCAAAAAATGATTCCCACTAGTACAAAGCTTTCACACAATTCAAGGAAAGCTGAGCTGTGTATACGTTGGACAATGTGTAAAGCTGATCAGTTTTCAAAGAATGATTCCTACTTGTACAAAGCTTTCACACAATTCAAGGAAAGCTGAGCCGAGTATATGTTGGACAATGTGTAAAGCTGATCAGTTTTTAAAAAATGATTCCCACCGACAACGTTGGACAATGTGTAAAGCTGATCAGTTTGTCCACAACGATTCAATTTCAAATGCTGACCACAGACAAATTCAAATTCAAACAAAAAAAAAACAAATTTGGATTGGCTATAAATAACATTCACGGTTTCTACTTCAAACCACCCAATTCGAAGTATTTCTTCAAAGTATTTCTAATCTCCAAACCAACCGCTTTTTACAAAAAAAAATGTCTGTTCGATCATCTGGATACACGGTTACTGAAGATGTGCTCCTTTGTCAAGTATTCTTGGATATTTCTCAAGACCCTATTATCGGTAGAAATCAGTATCGAGATGCATTTTGGTCTCGTGTGGAGGACAGATACAATGAACTTCGAGACCAAAATTCTGATGTGCGTAAGAGCCGATCAATTCGTTCTCGAATAGAAATCATAAGTAATGAAGTAAGAAAATTGAATGCGTGCTTGAGACAAGTAGAGAATCTGAATCCAAGTGGTGCTTCAGATGAAGATATTGTAAGTATTCTATTAATTATCGTTTGAAATTTATTATTATTGTTGAAAAACATAACTTGATGTTCATTACAATTTGCAGTTAGTTCGAGCAAATATGTTATTTATGCAAGATCCAAAGTACAAAAAAGGTTTCAAATTTGATCATGTCTGGAATATGGTTAAAAATTTCGAAAAATTTAAAGATGATGTCCCCACAGCAGGACAAGTTGGTCGAAGACAACCCCAAAGTGTGAACTTCGACTCGTCACAATCAGATAATCCTACTCCGGAATCTCCTATATCAACATCTCCTGGACTGTCATCATTTACTCCATCTGAACGACCTATTGGGGTAAAAAAAGCCAAATTGAAAAGAAAAAATGATGATCATGAGTCAAGCGTAGCGGACTCCATCGAGACCTCCAACAACCGACTTATAGACAGGTTAGACAAGGCGAGCTTGGATAGGCAAGTAGCATTTGACATCGAACGAGAAAAGATAGCTATGAAAAAAGATAGAGATGAATGGAAAATTATAATGAAAGATTTGAATTCCATTGCTGATCCAAACGTACGTGAGTACGTTCGAGCTCAACAGATTAAAATAATACAAAAAAGAAATCAACAAGAACAAGGGCCTGCTTCTAATTTTGGTAATTATTTCAATGATATTGGACACTCTGGCCCCGATCTACCAGATTATTAAGAGTTGCTTGTCCATTTCAGGAAATGTTCCATGTTTAGTTTGTATTTTATGTTTTATTTTAATGAAGTTTTATATTATGCGTGTCAGTTTTTATATGTTATGTATTTCAGATATGTAATTTATATTTGAATTATGTATTAGGATTGCTCTTTATATTTCATGGGACTTTACTTAATGTCTAGATTTTAATATTATAATTAATAATAATATCTTTTAAATTTTAGCATTATTTTTATTTTTAAAAAATAATTTATTTTGTCCAAATTATACAATTGGGGTAAAATTATAAAATTTAAATATTATTGGGGTTGTTTTATACATTTAATAAAACAATTAGGGTCAAATTGTAAATACATAAAAGTATGAGGTAAAAATAAAAAAATTAGAAAAAAAATAAACAGTATTGTGGTGATGAACAATGCGACGCCAAATATGACGTCGCGCTGTTCATCACCGCTAAAATAACGCCCAAAATGAAGCTGGGTTGGAGAACTGTCGCAGCGGCAAAATCCCTTTTCGCCTCAAAAGGCCGCTCGGTTGGAGATGGTCTTAGCTCTTCTTTATTTAATAAACACAAAAATGCTAAACACTTTATTTTAACTATCTACTTCAAACGAGATTAAATTATGTTTAACCCCTCATGAATTGCTAACTAGTACCTTTAATTTTAGGTAGATTATCTTAAACCATTTATAATTCTCATTTAACCTATTAACAAACAACACAAAATAGTTCTTTAACATTTTATAAAGTTTACAAATAATCCAGAGAAATTAAAGTTTCACCATATCATTAGCGTTTTCGAACTTTTTGATTCTAACCTTACTTAAAAAGAAACTGCCAACATTTAAATGATTTAAGGTTTTCCTCATCAGCTTTCATTTCATTCCCCACCCTCTCCTTCTCCCGCACCCATTATTCCACCCACAGCCAAAACAAACGGTCCCCACACGCTGGAAGGCAACGCAAAGGCGATAATATTTACTTTACAATAAACATTCATCAGATTACCAAATACAACCCCCACCTTTGCAAATCATCGCAACCTAACCCCAAACTCAAATCCAACCACCCCCCCAAATAAATTAAAATTAAAAAAAAAGAAAATAAATGAAAATAAAAGAAAAGAAATCCACAACCGCCGATCACCGCCGAGCGTCCCCCCCATCAGATCTTCTCCAGCTTGGCCGCCTTAACCAGGGGGTTCGCACGTGCGATATCCTCCCTCCCGACCTTCTTAAAGTCGAACGTGCACGCGTGCTGCTTCCTCGTGTAACGCGTGGGTGTCCCGCAGGTAGGTGGACCCCACCGGCACTTGAACCCGGTGAGCCACCTTCCTCTGCACCGCGGCGATCTATTCGCCTGCTGTTCGCGGCAGGCTGCCGTCACCGCTCGAGATCTCATTGCGGGCGGTGACTCTTACGACATCGACGTTCGGTGAATGCGGGCCGCTATAGAGGACGAACGTTCTCTTGAGGAAAAGAGGTTATTTTTCGACGGCGATCTTCGGCAGGGATGAGGCTTGCTCCTCTTGAGGCGGACTGGATGCGGTGCACTTCGAGCAGAGGTTGAGGGTCGCCGGACTTCCGAAGAACCCGCAGTTGTTGGCGCAGAGACGGTGAGCTTCTTGACATCGCTGCTCTTCTGCCATTTTTTTGATGAAATTTTGGGCTGGATCTGCAATTAGAGAAATTTAGAGGGACCAGAATGGGGAGTTTTACACGCAGAAGAAGAAGATGGATCTAGAAGCGTCGTAAGAATCACGCAAGGTTGCAACTTTGGGGGTAAAGTTAGGGTAGAGAATGAATAATTATAAAATGTTGGGGGAGAAATGGAATTATTATAAGAAATAGAAAAATATTTGACACGTAACCAAAAATAATAATATTTTTATAAATCGAATTCAATGGAGTTGCCTGATAGTGTTAGCCTGTTAGGAGATGAGATATCACATCAAAAAAGATGAGAGATGAAATGACAACACGGCGTAATTTTTTTATTTTTATTTTATTTTAAGAAAAAAAATCAAATTTCATAAATGGAAGGTTTCGGAGAAAAGGGGAAAAAATATTAACTGATAAAAACATGGAATTTAATAAAATCACATCAATCGAATTACCTATTCACGATTTTATACGTGCAAAAATTTAGGGAAGAATAAAGATCTATGGATCCCACATCAAAACAAAAATCTTGACAAAAACAAAAATGTTAGAATGAAATGATTCTTAGAAAACAAAAAATAACAGAGATTTTGCATCAAAATCTAAACTTAATTACAAAAAGAAAATGAATTGAATTACCTGTTGAATAATTGAGAGGAGCAAAAGTCGAGGGAAGAAAAGAATCAAATAATAGAAATTAATCAAAGGGAGAGAGAGATTGAGATCACCTCTCCCTCTGCCCTCTTTTGTCCCTTTTCTTCGGCTATCGAATTCCCAAAAACAGGAAAAATTAAGTTAATACGGTGAGAAATGGAGCAGAAATTTGTAATTTTTCTAAATTTGGAGGCCATTGGATTCCATTTCTTCTCCTTAAATAAAACACACTGTATCGAAATGCCACCGGCTTTGCGCTATTATTGCGATTCTGCCATTGGCTTTTGGTGGAAAAGATAGGAGCACAATAAGCTGCAGATGTTGTCGGCTAGCTTTTGGGGGGATGTATTTTTGTGGGCCGTTGGATTGGTAGGCCCAATTAGTGATCTGTCGTTAATTAAGGGGCTGTTCGGTTGATTTCTAAGAAAACGAAGAAAAGTAACTCTGAAAAAGAAAGGTCCTAGACAGTTTTTGAATTGTATTACTCATAAAAATCTTTAGAAATGGGTTTTTCTAGAAATTGAGTCAAATCCAACCAATGGGAAGATGACACCTCACCTTTTGAGAATCAAATAAGAGAGGGAGGGAAATACTTTAGAGAAACACTAGAAATATGTTTACTTTAGGGCCTGTTCGTTTATTTCCTAAAAACCAAGAAATGGAAATGGAAAAAGTGGAAATCTCAAAATAATCAATTTCTTCCATTTCCATCCCTAAAACTCACCTACAACATCCAATAAAATATTATTTTCATCCAACAACTCATCAACATCATCTAATAAAATATTATTTTTATCTAACCACTCATCCACCACATCTAATAAAATATTATTTTCATCTAACAACTCATCCACCACATCTAATAAAATATTATTTTCATCCAAACATCACTCAACTCATCTCTTTTCATTATTTCAAATCACTCACATCATCGAATAAAATATTATAACAATTCACCTCATCTTATTAACATTTCATTTCTTTGTTTTCATCCCAAAAAGTTGTGAAAATACTTTTCTTAATCTTTCTTCACATCACCAAATAATACAATGACAACTCATCTCATCTCATTTCATTTCTTATTTTTAAGAATGAACCAAACAAAAGAAAACAACAAAACTACAGGAAATATGTTTCTTATAATTCATTTCCTTATTTTTTTCGCCAACCGAACAACATCAAAACTAGGTTTCTTAAAAAAGCACTCACATCATCCAATAATAATGTGACAACTCATCTCATCTCATCTCCATTTCTTTGATTTCCTTTTTTTTAGCCAACCAAACAATTCAAAAACCCATTTTTCTTAGAAATAGTTTTCTATTTCTTTGATTTCCCATTTTTTTTAAGGCAAACGAACAGGCCCTTTACATGAAATATGTTTTCTATAACATGGTTTCTTGATTTTTTTTTTTTTATTTTGGGTTACCAAACAGGCCCTGAGTGGAGATTTTAGAATAAGTGTTTTTGAGGAAAAAAAAATTATGGTTTTCTGGTATATATCCCTCAATTGTTTATATTTGAAAAAAAAATTGCCCCCAAATTCTTTCATATTATATTTTGTCTACCTCTTTCACTTAACAATTTTAATTTTTTAAAGGAAATTGTTTCAAACCTATTGGAAATTATTGAATATTTTGACATTGTCATGTTTAAAAGCTAACATTTAAGTTAAAGCGGTAGAAAGATCCAGTATATTAATTTTGAGGGCTATATATGCAAAAACCCCAAAAAATATTATACAAGACTTCATGTAAAAGATATACGAAAGACAATGAATGTGGCATATCAATTGCATAATCATTAAATAAATTATTCTATATAGTTATAATCACTACGATCATTAATACTCTTAGGACTAATAAGTAATATGTTATTTTATTTTATTTTACCCAATATATTTTCCTTTTAAATTTAGATTTTCTTCAATTAAAAGGTAATTGAGGATGATCGATATACTTAATATATTAACTATTATCTAGTCGAGTCCTAGCCATCATTTTGCGTTTTAATTGAATCACAGAACCCAGAAGCAATTAGCAACTCTTTGTTTTGTAGGGGATCTAAGGAAGGAGGGGAGGTAGGATGCGATGCAACGAGGTCCAAGGAAGAACATATTCTTTGTGCATCTTGTTTAGTTGGAGGAAGGGTGAGGGAGAAGGTACATGATTTTTTTTATGTTCCATGAGGAGATGGGAATGAGAGGTGTACAAACATTATCTTTTTGTGATAATAGTTCTAGAACCTTACTAATAAGATTATTTATGATTTAATCAAAACAGTAGCAAAAGGAAAAAAAATTCAGCAAAACAAAAGAGAAAAGAAATAAAAAATTAAGTTTAGCTCGATGGACCAAGGTATAGAAACCATTGTCATCAATGCTCTAGCCATAGCGCAGAGCACAATTCTCTTTACGTGTACATGCACAAGGCGCAACGTGATGCACGTGCCTGAGCGAAACGAGGCGTACACAACACACATAGTTTTTCAAGATAGATACTCAAGCACAAAAGAACATGTTTATGAATTTTTACATAAAAGCATGTCAATATAACAAACGGTCTTAATTGCTAATGCTTAAACATCCAACATCTTAGTGAAGTTCATACTTTTCCAAATCAACACTAATTTCGAAGCAAAATCAAATTCTGAATAACGATTAGTTGGGGTCCTCATTTGGGCTACTGTAAAGACCTAATGAATTTATTGGCCTTTTGGGATATGCTTTGTCAGGTATAAAAACTAATTGTAACATTAAAGAACAAACATATATGACAGAATAGTTAATTAGGTAATTATGAAAGACTTGTGAGGATAGAAGAGTAATTGTAAAATGAATTCGTCTTTATCCCTCCAAATTGGATGAATTTTTTTCTCCTCACATTTAGTTCATTTTCTGCTTTCTCTCCCCTCTCCTCGTTCTACCCCACCTCACCTTCTCTTCTAAAAAAACCTTCCACCAAAGAGTTTTTTTGGGATTTTTTTTTAAAATAGACCTTTTTGTTAAATAATTAGCAAAATCGATCATTGCTAATTATTTAGCAAAATAGATCTCTTTTTTGCCAACAAGCCAAAAAAATATCGATTTTAAAAAACAGTTTTCTCAAAATATACGGGACTACTAGTCTCGTATGTCTTGTGTCAGCTTACCAAACTTATGTGACTAGTAGTCTCATATGTTAAGCAGAGACTTTTTGCCTCTGCCCACCAAACCACGAGACTACTAGTTCACTCAAAATATACGGGACTCCCGTATGTTTTGAAAAGATAAAATTTTAAAATCGACCTCTTGTTGACCAAAAAAAGATCGATTTTGCTAAATCATTAGCAAAATGACCGATTTTATTAATTATTTAGCAAAAAAAAGGTCTTTTCTAAAAAAATCCCTCTCTTTTTTTAATTTTGTCTCTCAACTTACTCTACACTCCCTCCTAGTAAACTAAAGCCTAATTCATGCGACCTTGACTCAGTCAAAACTGGAGGTCAAATTTTTATCTTTGAAACTTGCTAAAAAAATAAAAAACTTCTATAAAAATTAAAAAAATCTGATTATATTAAAAGGTCAATAAAATAGTGCGTATAACATAAGGCATAAACGTATGATTCATCCGTGCCTACATAGAAGTTAGGTGTGCACAATGGATGCATGCGTACCTATTACTTTATTCTGGTATATTAAATTTTTTATGAGTATTAATTAATACATATAATGTATGCAGGACGCGCAGGCGGACAATTTTCCTTACCTTCAATAAGGATATTATTTTATAAGAAACGCCAATATTCTGAACTTAATTTAATGTTTCTGAATAAAAATTTGTGATGTTTTTAACTGTTATGGCTAATCCATGATGCGTTGCATTTGCAGACCAAGTCCTTTCTGCATATGTTTCTCATGTGATTGATACCAACTTGGTTTATTTTAAAGTATACATTAAGTGGGGGATCATTAAGCGCGTGTTAACAATGTTTACTATTGTTAATTTTACAGTCTCTCAAATAAAAAAAATATCGATGTTCACAAATGATGTCAACTCAGAGGGGTGTAAAAAAAAAAATTGTGTGTGTGTGATTATTCTTCTATATGCTACTTTTATTAAGATATTATTTTAGATTATCACAATAAAACTATTGATAATATGATGTTTCTTTTCTTTAACCATCTGAATTTGGTACAACTAAAATTGTTACAATAATAATATATTTTTCTGGGAATGTTAAATATGTGGTAAGTGGTAACCTCGAGATACCATTTAAACTATACAAGTGAAATAGGTTAGGCTATTCTTAATCCTAGTAGTGGAGCTCTGGTGTTACATTTATAGGCTTTGAACGTTGGTCACCAACCTTTTTTATCTGTGACACTCAAGTGTAGCTTTGAACGTTGGTCACCAAGCTTTGCCTTGCATATTATAATCTAATGTTTACTCTTAGTCACTCTCTGTGGAGTTAGTTTACAATTCATTCTATATGGTCTAGTATATAGCTCATTGGTGACGTTTTGTTTTTTAATGTTATTAGGTTTGCTTCATAAAGAAAAGATGATCCTATAGCTTTTATTAGATGTAGAAACGACGAAAACATTGGAGAAAAAGAAGTTTTTTGAAGCAGACAAAATTTTGGGTGCTTGCCGGTCGACCGCGAGCTTTGGGGCGGTCGACCGAAAATGTGCATAGCCTCATGGAGTTTCTGGACTTGGTGTGGTCGACCGCCGGTTGACCGCCAAACTCTGTAGTGGATTTTGGTTTCTGTCGATTGGTTGCGGTCGATTGTTACGGTTGGCCGCGAGACCGTGTAATGTTTTCCTGGGTTCAGTCGTTGGTTTCGGTCGACCGCCGCGGTCGACCGCGTGTCGTGTTGGGCCTTGGGCTTTGTTTCCTATTTGCTTTGGGATTGTGTTTTGGTATATATTGAAACACGATTTTCTAGGGTTCCTAAGGAGAGATTAGAGAGACTTTTGAGCATATTGAGAGGGAGAATTTGTGAACAAGTTGAGAGATCTTTTGATTGGGTTAGTTTAAGTGTTTGAGAGATTTGTAACCCTTTGTACTCTCCTTGATTTAGTGGAATCTCCTCATCCTCTCCCCGTGGACGTAGGCAAATGTATATATTGAAACACGATTTTCTAGGGTTCCTAAGGAGAGATTAGAGAGACTTTTGAGCATATTGAGAGGGAGAATTTGTGAACAAGTTGAGA